TTTCCGTGAAAGGCCTGCTGTTGTGCCGCGTTTCACTTTTCAGCTTCGACACACAGTTTTCCGGAATCGTCAGCTCAAACTACCTAGGAAAGCTATTCTCTTTTTATGTTACATGAAACATGCAAAAACAGAGTGTGATTTATATAAAAGACATTTTGTTACTTTCTTAATATGCAGATCACTTCGAGTCGTTTTTGCACTTTATATCTCCTGTTTTTGCCTGTTCAGCGTAAAATTTGAGAGAAACAATTACTAAAATAGCACATCGCAGGTTCAGTGAGCAAGTAGAGAGGTGAATTCTTCCCACTTTTCCAACGTTTTCGTTGATCATTGTGTGTGTACAATATGTTTTTGGAAGAATATAACTTGTTCTCCGCTTCAAGACGGTTCAAATGGCCCAAGAATTAAGGCTCTATCTGTTATCCTGGGGGACTTGATGCTTTTGTAGCTTTTATGGCTTTTACGGCAGGTTTCTGTCCGGCCTCAAAAAGCGAATATTTTGCCGAAGCGAGCAAGGCTCTTCCGAAGTTAAAAAACATGTTTTCCAAGGCAATCTGAGTTGGTGATTCCGAAAAACTGTGTTTCGAAACGGAAAAATGAAACGTGGTAACACAGCAGGCCTTTCACAGAAAGGATGCGTTTTTTTGATTTTTTTTCATGCTCGGTATTTCGCGTGAATGAAGACAAACGATTTTGTGGACAAAAAGATCATCACTAGATGCAGCTCTTCAAACTTCGTCGATCTATGTATAAGGGAAGAAAATCTGAGAGACGTGGTATTTATGAATTAGCGGCGACTTACGGTGAACAAGTCAATTGTTCACACGGATTTCTTGAGAATTCTCTCACACCTTGGTGCGAATGTAGTTTATACATTTCGAATGTATCTATATATTGTAGCGAGAGGGGAAATGATAAACTGTTAGGCACTCTTTTTGTAATAAAAACCAAAACAGTTGTCAGACGAAGTTTGAAGAACAGATTTTATTTTCAGAATGGCTATTGACACCACCACCAGAGGTGTCACGAAGAGCTATTGACACCACCAAAGGTGTCAGCAACGGCTATCGACACCACCACCGGAGGTGTCACGAAGAACTCTTGACACCACCATGGGTGTCAGCAACGGCTATTGACACCTCCAAATAGTATGTAGACTGTGAGAGAAGTGTATTTCATATAGTGTCTTGAATGCACTTCAGATATACGTGAACTTCGGGAGCGATTCCGATCAGGGGAGCAGGAGGGCCAGTCCCTCCCTGGAATTTCTGACTTTCCGTAAAAGTCTTTCCCTTGCGTTTCCACCGCGGAAAATGTAGCAGCGGTATGAAAAACTACTGTTTATGGCAACTTCTCCTTGCTAATCTTTCGCTTCGATGTACAAATACAAGTACAGGGTTTTATATTACCCTTGAGTCTCTCTTCCGTTCCTAAGTATTTTCATGTCTGCCCGGTTTATTGTATCGTCTCGAGTGAAAGAATTGAAATAAGAGTTTTGATTTTCAGATTTGAGTGGCTGTAACACTCTTAATTCATTTTAACATGTGAAGACTACAATTAAAACTAGCATGAAAATGAGAGTCAATAGAAATCGCTTAGGCAATGATTTATTAGAGACATGTGTTAAGTGTTCAACATTGAATATCGAATTAACACATGAAGCTGTTAGATTTATCGTAAATGATTTTGTAACCCATCCTGGAAGAGCAAGACAAAGAAATATCATGTTACATTTGAATGAACAGGAAAATCATACAAAAAATGATCATGATGAAGATTAAAAGCGACTGTTGTTTTGATTTTACTTACTCCCTTAATAAATGAAACGAAAAGTGATGCAACCTCAGGTTGACTACAGAAAATAACTTAAAATAAAGCATTCTATTTTTGCCTCATCACTTTTCATAAGACTTTTTTATTATAAGCTTTCCACCACAATTATAGCCCCCCTTGCCCAAAAACAATCGGAATTCCTGAACTTCGGTGAAATTCATAGGATGCAACTTTAAAATTCATGCTGAAACATTAAAATAATTCATTTGATAAAGAGGATTTCTTCGGCCAAGAAGCAGCTACACAGATATTCGATGATGTCATCAGTCTACATGAATATTTATCCAACGATGCATAACGAATTTTAAAGTTGCATCCAATGAATTTCACCGAAGTTCACGTATATCTGAAGTGCATTCAGGTCACTATATGAAATACACTTATCGCACAGTCTACATACTATTCGGAGGTGTCAATAGCTCTTCGTGACACCTCATGGTGGTGTCAATAGACTCACCCTTTTATTTTCGAATCAAATATTTTGCAATTGTGTGATCCTGCTTTTTCTTTTGATTATATTTATTATATACAAGAAGTATGAAACTAATGTCACAAAGTTAAACAGGGCCATCCGATGAAGGGTTTTCTGAAATTTTAGACTCTTCGAGGTTTTCAATTTTTGTTTTTCAACAGATATTTTAAAAATTAAAACACGCATATTATTATTCAGCTCGTCAAGTTTTATCCAACCGTGTGTAAAAAAGAAATGAAAAATAAATTTTTCTTTAATTTTGCATTATTGGCATCTTACGTGCATTTTTACCAGGTGTATATAAACTATTTTGCGTTTATATACCACTTAACAGATGACAGAATCCCCAGACTTCACCAGTTGAAGCAAAAACTGTTATACCATAAAATAGCCTGATCATCGAAGCGCACAAAATTTCTAGCAACGTTCCAACTAGATTAAAAAGTTCATATTTTAGCGAAGAAAAATCCGTTTATGTACAACGATAAGTGGTGAAGCTCGTTTCATCTCGAACAACCATGCAAAGGGATGGACACATTAGAAGAGTCCTCTGCAATAGGAGAACTCCTCCTAATAGAAGACCCGCTTGAGCTAACGACGCAAAAAACAGAATGGAAGGTTACTGAATACCTTTATGTGTTTACATGATCATTAAGACATATTAGAACATTCTTTTTTATCTTAAAGATATCTGCTCCTCTCATTAAGCGAAAGATGAGTGTAGACAGAGTCGTGACTAAAAGGGAGATGTGTGAGGATGTAAGCTCTTCATACACTTTTCCCTTTAACAATCTCTTTTCTCCCCAGGAGTTTGTCTAACTCACATATAGATTTGGTAACGAATTACTCTTGTTTAGTCCCAATTTTTTTAATTAGCTCTCATTCGTTTCGTCCCCTATTACTTTGTTTATAATATAACTATCTATTTCTGTCTATCAACTGTATACAAATCAATATTATAATCTATACTTAATTAAAACAATTTATTTTCAAGTTACATGAAACTGGTAGTTTTACAGTATTAACACATTTACCGCATTTAGTTGCAAGTTCAGTTCCAGACAAAGCACCATTCTCATATCGTTTGAAGTATTCTTTCAATTTATTATCATAATTATTATGCAGTTTTTTACCGTTTTTGTTAGTAAGTCTGTGTAACGTGTATGATCTTTCTTCGATGCATCGATAAATTCATAAATATGTGCGTGCACACCAAAATATTGTTTTAATCTATTGTGAAAATCTTCAACGTGATTATTTGTTCTCGGATTGAATCTGATGAATGTGAATGATTTGTAGGTGGATGAGTAATTGGTGAGTCATCAAGGGATAACATAGTTATACTATTATAACATCTAAGTCGGCAACACCACTCAACTGTTGAGTTATTTGAACGCTTTTTAGTGTATTGATAGTCATTAGGTATGTCACAAACCCAAACCCAACCAAAGAATTGGGTTTGGGATACCCAAGTCTAGACTTGGGTATTGGGTTTGGGTCAGACTTGGGTTTGGTATTGTGTTGGACTTGGGTTAATAAGAGCCTAGCATGATGCTTTATTTCATGGTAGTCCATGTGTGCAGTGTTTGGTTTCGTCCTGTGGATCTATGTGTGCAAGACGGTAACCATAAGAACTTTCTTTGAATTAGATGAGATGTCTAAAAAAGTTGAATTCTTTTATGCTATTTATTTTGCGAATATCATCGTTATTTTTCAGTGTCTTAAATACATGTACAGAACAGATTTCAGCTGGCAGTGCTTTCCCAAATTAAAATCCTTTATAGAAAGAACAGATTTTTGTTAGAGAAAATAAGGTCAATGAGAAGAAAGAGACAAATGAAACGTATGGAAGAAAGTCGTCAAGTTACTATTGATTAGTTGCACTTGAAGAAGAAGAAGAATGGTCTTTTGACAACTGACCAAGGGCAAACCCAATGCCCAAGTCACCTCAAGTGGCTTGGGTTTGGGTTTGTAACATACCTAACAGGCATTAATATTTAGAATTTGTCCACTACATTTTGTTTCAGTATAAAATATCATTATTATATTGAACAAGTGTATAAAGTAATATTTAATGGTGCCAGAAGAGCATATGATAGTTCCGTTTATAGACTATGAAGCAACGTAACAATCAAATGGTTATTCACGAGTACAAAAGAGTAGATTACAGGACTAATTACAAAATTCTAGGACAAATTGAATCCTACATGTTATTAATTACTTGACTGAATAACAACTTGTTATTATGCTGATTTAGAAGAGGAACTCAATAATTAGTTTACTGGTATGCAGTTGATAGAGAAATAGATAGTTATAAAATAAATAAAATAATAGAAAATATAATGGACGAAACGAGAGCTAGTTAAGAAAATTGGGACGAAATGCGAGGATACCTTTGGTAACGAATGTAATCAACATTAAGGGACAATCTGCTTTCTCCGCCTTAGTCTCTCAAATAATTTTAGTGCAAAATCTCCATTCTGCTGTTTTCGAAGGATTAAAAGCAACAGTAACTTATTTAGACATTTTGTTGAAAATGAGAAATATGTTCAATACATGCTCGACATAAGAATACTGGCTGTACTTTTTATAGTTTTATTTAGTATTTTAAATACGGTTCAATAGAATTTGTTCATAGCTATCAGCGTCGGAACTACGCACTGCAAAACAGACTCTTTCTTCATAATTTTCACATTTTTCTCTTCGTTCTTTGGATCCGATCGTGTGTCAGTACCAAATGTATTGAAGATGCACCTTTTTTCTAGGTATTGTTAAAAATGAAATATTAAAAGCAAAAATTGTTGAAGATGACAATGATTTACTGTTAATAACAAAATGCGCACATGATTCAAAATTTGATATTTTAACCATTCAACGTCCAGCTTTAGCTATTATAAAAGAAATAATGTTTTTTGTATCTAAAGCAATTAAAAAGTTAAAAAATGATGATTTATTTATTGAACATCTTCGATTATTGAAAAATAGAGAAATAGATAATACATCTTTATCAATAAAAGTGAAAAAGGAAATGAAGAAAGAAGCAGAAACTCTTATATGGATACTTGGAAATGAAAAAATACCAAGAAGAACAATAACAAATGAAAACATTATTGGTAAATCTCAATCATCTGATACTTATGATTTAACGATAAGTTACAGTTATATTAATAAAGAACCGGAACCGCGGTTCTCTTGTTTTCGGTTCTTGATGCACACTTTGACTTTTTTTGGATTCGCTGAGTATTCTGTGAAGAACTCTTTCTGCGAACGCTCGTTCATTGAAATCACGAATTGAATGAGCTTTATTTCTCTTACACGTTAAATCGATGCGATACTGTACGTCGTAAGAGTCTGCATCTCGTTAACAGTGTCTCAATACATAAAGAAATTTGTCTTTCAGGAAGCTTATTTCAGTCTTTGACTTCAAATCGTGTACTCGTATGGGTTCGATGGAAACGAAAACCAAGGTCACTTTGTTTCTCTTTTTCAATGAACAAGTGTTTGTGGAAAAGACAGGCCACGATATTTCTCGGCTCATTTATTCTTTCTGAAGAACAAGACAGAATACACACGGTAATAAAACCTGTTGCAAATACGGTGTTGTACTAAAAAGGAAGTCGACCAAACATAGTAAGAAGTTTCTCTTAAATCAATTGAGAAACTTCATCCCAGACTCCATTTTAAAATCATCAAGGAATTTCCGTAAAGGCTGGCCACACCAGCTTGTGCTCTACACTTCTGCGCTTCAAACTCTGAAAACAAAGTCATCGATCTGCGTCGATAGTGCTTAAAAAAGTCAAAAAATGAACTTCCTTGTCGGCTACATCTCGTGAACGAAACATTCTTCAGAACTAGCGAACGTATTATTTTGTAGACAATAACGTATAGTATCTATAATAAAATCTTCAGGAAAAACCGTTTACCATCCGACAGATATGGCAAAAATCGTGATTTTTCAAGAAGAAAACGGCCGATTTAGAGCTTTTGGCAAATTCGCTATATTCCAGCTGGCAAACAACTTTTTTCAAAACGGGTGTCTAAATTTACCAGAATGGTTGCTGTATATAATCACGTAACGTTTTCAAAATTTTGTGACTATCGATTGAGCACTCTCTGGTGTTTCGTATACGAGCTGACTTATTAAAGTAGTAGTTACTTTTTATTGGGATGTGTTTTTCTTATGGATGGACTCATTATTGTGCTAGCGGCTAACTGGTGAAGTCGTTCCCATCGCTGAGATTCTCTAAAATTTCTGATTTTTTGCAAACGGTCTTCTTCTTCCAACTGTATTTCGAGTTCTTCGAGTTGATCATGTAAGCTAAGTGATGAAGTTTCTTCAAATGCGAGCTGAAAGTAGTTTTTCAAAAAACAGACAGTGAAGTTTAGTACGGTGACAAACTTTGATCGCTTACTTTTGTTGCAATGAATCAATTCGTAATTTTAGAAGCTCTTTTTCTCGTTGTATATTGTTGATTTCATCGTGCCGTCGAGAATTGTTTGATTCTGAATCATTCATTCGACTGTTGGATAAACTCCTGTTTGCAACTTCAATGCTTCGCTGATATTGTAATTGTTTTAGCTAGAAAAAAACTATCATACTCGAAAACGGCAACTTTCCTAAAACATACCGTAGTTGTTTTTTACCAGTTGGCGTACATACCTCGTTTTTATCGATAGTCTGAATTAAGCTCGCTAAATCCATTAATAAGCTCCGTATCTGCAATACAAAATTAACAAATTTATTTCGTAAATTTAGATTTCCGCCTGTTCCACCTTTTTGTAATTTTTTGCCCATTTTTCATGTTCTGCTTTATCCATGCAGAAAACATAAATCGATTTTAGCTGTGATAAATCATGAATTCTTGGGACAATTTCAAGACCGAACCGTCCGCTAACAATCAAAATAATTGTTTTTTCTTTGTTTTCTCGGATATATTCATCACATCGATCAACTGTCTCAAATGCATTGAATGAGCGATAGAGATTTCTTAATTCAGTTTTTATGTGTACATTGTCTTCACTATTCTGTGCTAGCCAAATCAAACATACAATTTCATCATTTTTTTCCTGCATAGAAAACTTAAAATTTCACGAACATGTTCCATTGTGATTAGCATTTGATGATGAAAATGAATTGATGGGCGATGGTGTGACGGATATGTTTTCGAAGTGTCAAACGGAGGCAGCAACAATTGAATCGGAGGTTCTATTTCTTTCAAATGGATAATGTGTAAACCATCAGCTGCGTTCATTTGGCTTACAACTTTGAGATAAGTACCTGGCATTAATAATATTTCTTCTTCTTTCTTAAAATACGAATGATGTCGAATTCTTTTCCCCTTTGACATTGAATAGAAAATATAGTTCTTTGACCAGTATTTCCGACATATACTGGCGATTGTAGAACTTCGATCGAAAATGTACATGATGACATAGCCCACCATGTACAAATCGTATCTCGTTTGTAGTCATTATTCAGACTGAGTCTA